TGCAAACCTGGTGTGTGCCAAGAACCCTTCAACCAAATGCTTCTGGGAGCCTGGCTTGATTCTGGAAGTTCACATAGACTATGGAAACCAAAGAAAATAGATGATAGATAGATAGATAGATAGATAGATAGATAGATAGATAGATAGATAGATGAAAGATACAGGCTATATCCATGATTATGGAGCATGTGTGTGATATGTATGTGCAGATATGTCTGTCTCTATAGCTGTCTCTATAGTTGTTGTTTTAAATTCTGAAACCTTCTTCTCTGAAAATGATTCTACCTCTCCCCATTCTTTTTGAGGCTTGAGATGTTTTCAGATAGACAGAAAACACCCAGTGGGACAGAATGGGAGTGAGAAAGAATTTTCCAGAACTCTTAGACCTGCTTATAGTGAGAAACTGGGAACTGACTTTGTGCAGTCCTCTAATAAATCCTCAGATTCTCCATTTCTGAGCGACCCTTGGAGTCGTTGTCCCTTTGATGTTTAGCTTCCACTATATCAAGAGCCTCATGGATTATGTTTATAGAGTTATTATTAGGGATTCCAAAGATTTGTGTCCTCAAACTATACTGTTTACTTCTTTCTTGGATTTAGCCTTTATCTTTTGCTGAAACAAATGTGGTTGGAATATGGAAAATTATTGGATACTCATATTATATGAATACCATGTTCTGAAAGGATTTTGATGCGTGAATGAAGGTGGCTACATTTCTAGTCTGTCTCGTCTGTGATTGATCGGGGTCAGAGCTGGTCAAGGAATGTGCATGAAAACATGCTATGATTTAACAGCATAAAGTAAAACAAGGGAGCAAATGTTGGTAAGAGAACAAGGGAAAGGAAAGAAAGCATCTGAATACAAATGTGACATGTGTTCACTTTTATGTGGCTCTTGGCATCAACGAGTCCTTCGCCGTGTGTGTGTGGTTTGGAGAACCTGCAGAATCCAGCAAGATATAAAGGTGAGGAAAAAGAAGAAGGATCTTGAAGGAAGACAGATAACAGGCCAGTTTTTCTATTATTTTTCATATTTAAGAAGTTATATTTTATAAAGAAACATACCTTGAGGATAGTAGATGGGGTAGAGACCAGCAAATCATCCCTGAACACAGATTAAATCTGATTGAAATCGTGTATGTCCTATACAATCTGGACAATTTTTCTATATTTAATGATTAAAAAGCTCATGGCATGAAATTTAATAATGGAAATTTGTTTGATTAGTTGCACTGACTCATCTGCATGCCATCCACGGCTGTCATAATGTGTCATAATGACAGAAGGGATTTTGACAGAGATACTATGTCTAATATTTTCTAATTTAGGAGAAGTAGAAACATGATAGGTTTACTATGCTTTTTTTTATAATGATGTCAAAAGTACACACTGGAAAAAGATGGTTTCTTCAGAAGATGTTGATGAGAAAACTCTATAATCACAATTCAAAAATCAATTTAGGTCGCCATTCTCACAGTGGATAAAACTGAATTCAAAACAGACTATAAAAATTGTTTGAAACGGAAACCTCTATAGGAAAACATGGATAAGATACTTCTAGATCTACACACAGGTAAGAACTTTCTGGAAAGGACTCCAGTAGTTCAACAAGTAACATGTACTTATGACATGAGAGTAGAAGGGGACTGTGTGAGAACAGGGCGGTGGGGAAAAGAAAGACAAGACTCACTTATATATGGACTCTAGGTTTACTATCACCTGTCTGTTTATCATTTATCTGTTATCTATCTATCTATCTATCTATCTATCTATCTATCTATCTATCATCTATCTACTATCTATCATCTATCTATCTACCATCTATCTACTATCTATCATCTATCTGCCTATTATCTATCATCTATCTATCTATCTATCTGTCTGTCTGTCTGTCTGTCTGTCTATCTATCTATCTATCTTGTATCTATCTCTCTTGGATACTCTTCTTTTACTGTGAAAATACACCATGACCAGAGCAGCTTACAAAAAAAGCCTTCAATGGCGGGGGAGGTGGTCTGGCTAACATTTTCAGAGGGTGAGTCCTTGACCATCATGGTGGTAAACATGACATCAGGCATCATAAAAATAGACAGTCTCCCCTCACACCTATTAGGATGGCTATACTTTTGTTGTTTATGCATTTATTTTGGAGAAGGGATCTTTCTATGTAGTTCACATTGGTTTCAAACTCACAAACTGCTGTTTCCACATCCCTAATCTAGAATCTAGGCATGCAGTACCACATCCCACTGGGATGACTGTTATTGAAGACATCAATGAAGGAAGTTCCTACCCATGCAGAGAAAAGAACCAGAGGTCTTGGACACACAGCATGACGGCACAAATGGTACAAGTAACGTGAAAAAGAGCCCAGTGTGGTGTTGAACTCAGTTTGTAGTCCAGGCAGGCCTTGAACTTGTGATCTTTTTGCCTCAGCTTCCTAAGTTGCTGGGGATATTGGCCATCCCTACACAGCTCTGTATTTTTAATTTTTAAAGTATTATTTCCTCCTTGTTATTTACCCCCAAAGACCCTAAACTAACACCACAGAGACACTTGCATATGAATGTTTGTTTATTTCAGCACTTGTCACAGTAAACTATGGGATTAACCTGGATGCCCAGCAGCAGAAGAATGGATTTATACACAGTGAAATTTATCCAACCCAAAAGAACAAAATTATGATGCCGTGGGAAATAGTATGCAGCTGGAAATTACCATATTGGGTGAATTAACCAAGACTAGAAAGACTAATGTCCTATGCGTTCTCTCATGTGTGGATCTTAGATTTCATACAGTTACATAAAATTACATATCTCTAAGCAATGAAAGTGTAAGCAAAGTTGTCTATGAGGTGGAGGCACTAACAGTAGGGAAGGAAGAGAGGGGGAAGAGGGAGTTGGAGGGATATAGTCAAAGTGTCTCACAAACCTGTGTGGAAATGTCCCTATGAACTACATACAATGCATACATGTCAGCAGTTTCTCAGTGTATGCATCACTCTTTGAAATCTATGAGACTGGAGCAAGCAGTTGAATCTATTTCCCAAATGGGGACTCAGAACAACCAATAGCTTGGGTATAAAACCCTGTCACCTCCCAGCGGCAACAGCCCTTGTGTTGAGTTCTTGGAACATCCCCCGGGAAGAGAAAGTATATGAGATAAAGGCCCTGGGACAATTTTAGCACCACTCATAACGTCATCCTTGGTCTGGAGTTTTTCCTTCACTTTGCCCCAGTATTCTAAGGAGACAGGAAAATTCTCACATCTCTCGTCCTTCAGGTTCTAACGAGACATTGTTGTAGTCTTCTCAAGAATTAGAAAGTCTGGAACGAGTTTCTTGGTGGTAGAGAACCCAGCCAGTCATTCCAGGGCCATGATGGGTACTGGCCTCAGATACTGGGAATCCTGCTGCCTACCAATATGGATTTCACCCTAAGAAACTCTTCTGTTCCATCTCGGAGTGCCTGTTAGAGCATGCGCCATCTGCTCCTGTCATCTCTAGCGGTGTTTCAGTCTCTTTACAAGGCAGGTAGCGTGCAGACCTACTGTGGTTCTTCTCTACTCTATATGAAACAGAGCCATCCTGCATATAACCCACTAATTTAAAAAAACAAGCATGACAGGGTCTCATATAGCCCAGGCTGACCTGGGATTTACTATGTAACCAAGGCATGTCTTGAACTCCTGATCCTGTTTCTACCTCCCAAGTCCAGAATTACAGGTGTGAGCCATTTTAGCTACTCATCTGCCACTTTTTAAGCTGGAACACAGCCATTCAAGTGGAGTCTTCTTCCATTTGTTTAACTGTTTTTTAAAAGGCCGCTGGAAAGGAAGGCTTAAGGTGGCAGGCAGGCCACGTTTCTATTTTGAGTTAGTTGGAAGGCACTTGTTGGCTCCCAGCCGCTTACCCTTGAAATAATCACACAGAAACTGTATTAATTAAATCACTGCTTGGCCCTAACTTCTTATTGGTTAACTCTTTCTTACATATAATTTAACCCATTTTTATTAATCTCTATATTGCCAGGTGACTGTGGCTTACCAGGTAAAGTTCCCAGCATCAGTCTCTGGTGGCTCCATGGCTTCTCTCTGAGTCTGCCCTCCTTTCTCCCAGCATTCAGTTTAGTTTTCCTCGCCTACTTAAGTTCTGCCCTGCTATAGGTCCAAAGCAGTTTCTTTATTCATTATACAGTATACAGAGGGAAATCCCACATCAGTACACTGACTGATGACAGAAGGCTTTGAAATCAGACCCACTCTGCCCCAGCTACTGTCGTTTTCCTGTCTGGACTTCTTCACCTCCATCAGCTAAATGCCAGATTCAAAGGGGCATCCTGTCAACAAAGAAAAGTGTCCCATATAGTGCTGGGTGGAGAAGTGGTGGGGGCTGATGCAGTAGGTACTCTACTGATTTACATGTTTAAGTATTGTCATCATGACCCACCCCAGAGACCTCAAGCACACAGCAAATAAGAAGTAAAAAAAATGCAATTCAAAGACAAAGTAAGCAAGCCAGTGAAGATTATTAACATTTAAGGAAAGACTTGGGTTAATTTGGGGGCCGACTTCCGTCTTATCTGTTGCCAGATTCTCTTGCGGGCCTCTAAAGGTCAGAGTTGGTATGTTTTCTGACTGCAGAGGTTCATTATGCACCCTCTAAAGTCTATGAAACATCAATTGTGTTTTACGCCTCAGATCTTGGCTCTTAGAAGAGCATTCTCCTCTTTCTAAATAGTTCAAGGTCACGTGTTACAGAAGCCTGGCAACTCACTGGGGATGATGTCCTCGTGAGGGACTGCAGCTGTCCCAGATTCTACCGAGGAAAGCTGTGTTCTTTTCCTTGCCCCAATAAATGCTTATTTGGTAAACTTTATTTCTCTCTCATAGCCATTCATATGAGAATCAGAAATGTTGCCTTTAGCATGCTGCCTCTCTTGTTTTATGCAATTTGACAAGCAGTTGAGACTCTTGCTAAGTCTGCCCAGATAACAACTTACCTGAGTGGTCTTTGGCTGGTCCAGTCACAACTCTGGAGTCCTGGCTGTCTGTTTCTCTACTTCTAGGGAAGTGGGCCCAACTTCGTTTCATTTTCAGTCTGTTCCAACTCTATGGGGAGATCATAAAAATGTTTTAGGTAATAAGCATTGTAATGACGGTACCTATGCAAGCCTGGTGATATTAAATTCACAGTAGCAAATCAGCCATCTGTCATGATCTGAGCTGTGTCTGGGAATTTAGAACAATTTTCATACTAGAGTGAAAAAGGCCCCATGGTAGAGATGCACAGTATGTGCATGTAATGGAAATATGCATATATATATATGTGTGTGTGTGTGTCTCATACATGTATATCTAGGTCTGTTTTACCTGTAACAAAACAGAGATAATGACAACAGTCTTTATAGGTAGAGGTAGAAAGACCGAGAAGGTCAGTTAATACTTGAAGGCTACAAACACCCAGCGACAATATAAATGTTTCCAAAGCTCAGACTCTCCTTCTATAGGCATTCATCGTTGCACAGTTCAGTTCTCTTCTTGGCTTGAAGAAAATAGGATAACTCAGATGGGTTTGTGGAATCAGTGATCAGACAGATGAAGAAATGTTGACCCTGGTGTTGTCAGAAGCCTTGGAATGAGAGGCAACTCCACTGTGTTCTTTTCAGGGAAACCCAGGTTCTTTACTAGGGTCTGTCTTGGCTTTCTTGACCTAACCCCCTGCCTCAACTGTTTCACTTATCAGTGATTCCATTAGGGAAATTTCATGTGATGTAGACTAGGTCATTTTGGTAATGTGATAGGTATTGCGGGGAGTGTCAAAATGCCTCTTATTTAACCCACATTTTATAATGACATTGAATACAACTGGCTAGACAATTAGACTTGCAGATACTCAAAGCAGATCATTTTTTATCTTGGCTTATGCTCAAATTACATTGCACTGAAAGCTGCCACCTTTTTTTCCTGCACAGCTTATAGCAGATGTTATATAGCCCTTAAGAGATAATTTATTTCTTTTTCTGTTTCTATCCACGACTTGTAAACATAAATTTTTTCTGTATACAAGATTTCTAACAAAGTGCTGGTGGATAAATAAATGGCTTTCTTCAAAAATTATCCTAGGTAACTTATTTTGAGACAAGGTATAGCGGAGTAATCTACACTATGCTCAAATCACAAGTCTCTTGCCTCTGCCTCACAATACTGATATCTCAGAGGTGTGTATGCTGGCTACCATGTCCAACCCTTTCAAATCTTCTATTTACTTGCATTGATGAGCATTGAATAAACTGTCTCATACATGCTCGGCAATCGATCTATCACATGCTCGGCTCCAGTAGCTTAGAAAATTTAAAGAAGAACCTACTCGGTGCTATAACAGACCCGCTAACCCATATTCTCATTGTCTTAGAAAGAATTATTCACAGGAAATTTGGAGTTTGCTATATTTAAATGTCTTTGAAGTAGGTAGTTCACACAAGGCTAGCATTTCTGGAAGACTTTGGCCCTGGTTAAGCAAACCTAGAAAGGCCACGTGGATCTTTCCTCCTAAGAGTCTCTCTATTGATCTTTATCTCTAAATAATAAATTTACAGCCTGAGGCTGTTGCACAATATTTGATTTTTATTTACTAGTACCGCTGTAGTTATTTTAGGAGACATGATTCACACTTTCTTAATGTTTTAAGACAGTCTCTGAAATCCTTTGTGGCATTTCTTTAAAATCTATTGAAATGAAACAGACAAAAGGCTGGCATCAGTTTGAGGAAGGACCACTCTCAAGAAAGGCTATTGATGCACCTGACCATGAGAAAGATATGCTCAGTTGATTAGAGATTGTGATTTTTAAGTCAGAAGCCACGGATTTAGGCTTAATGGGCTGTCTCAATGTCCAGAAGCACCCCTAGTTTTCTAGGGCACCAGAAACATGGACATGCACTGTCTCACATCTGTTATCACTAGTAAAAAGAATACGGCTTTGGGTTTGGTAGACATGTCTATTATCCTTTTTTCTCGCCTTCTTCTATGCAGTAGAATACATCAAATTGACCCAAGAGCATCTGTAACACACTGGTTGTCTTTTGTTTCCGGGTCTCCCCCCAGTTTGATTTTACTTAGACAGTGCTCATAGCTGCATTTTTCCTCTTCTCATAGGTCTTCTTTCACGTTTTTCTCTCAGATTTGAATATCCTCTTCCTTAACTCCTCCCATTGTCTTGTACTCTTCATGTGGCTGAGCTCTTCACGACAGAACTTACATTAAATGCCATTGAAGCAGCTGTTCCACACCAGACATCTGGACCCTTATATTAAGCATGTGTCCTCTTCTGCCCTGGAAGCGAGGTGATGTGCTTGTCTGGTGTGGGAGCTCCCTCTGTATGTTGTGATTATCATTGATAAATAAAGGAACAGTTTTGGGCCTATAGCAAAGCTATAGGGGAACAGAGCTAGTCCAGGAAAGCTAAACTGAATGCTGGGGAAGAGAAGGCAGAGTTGGGGAGAAGCCATGTAGCCTCACTGGAGACAGACACCCGAACTTTACCCGGTAAGCCTCTGCCACGTGGTGATACATGGATTAATGGAAATGGGTTAAATTAATATGTGAGTTAGCCAATAAGAAGCTAGAGATAATAGGGCGAGCAATGTTTAAATAATATAGTTTCTGTGTGGTTATTTGGGGTCTGAGCTGCTAAGTAGTCGGGTACCAACAAGTGGCCTCCTCCTCAACTCTTGTCACAACCTTAATATGCAAGAACTGGACATTTAAAGAGATATCAGTCTGTGCTACTCTTAAATGATAGTTGCGCTTGTTTTAAAAAATCATAATGTAATTATTTATTTATTTCCCTATCTTTGCCATGATATTGTGTTTTCTGACTGTTGGGCCAATACCTAAAAGGACTTTTGTACATTGAGCATATAGTCCAAAGTTAGAAACATGACTAAACACAAACTCATTTTATTAAATGAACAAAAAGATGAATAGAAAATAATTAAAGAGAAAAAAAACCTCACCTGAAAAAGTCATAGGAAAAAAAGAAACCTTTAAAAATGGTGTCACCTCATTCTATTGCACATCTGTTCATGCTCTCATCCTCTATGAGCCTAAAATAGAAAACCTTCAGAAACACAGCCAGTAAAACACCAAGGAGAGTTACACTTCAAATACAAAGGAGAGCTACCTGGTTTTATGAAAAATTTGCCAGAAAATCTTAATTGAAGGATCTCAGAACTTTAGTGAGGGAATTTAACTTGCCACTCTCAAGTCTTATCAACTTTACTATCAGAAAATTAAAACTGGGAATAGAACATTTGGGTGTGTGTGTGATTAATTCCAATGGGAGCACATAAGAACTTTACAAAGGAAAGCTAAACATATGAGAAACACTAAACAGTGAGTCATATGGAACTTAATAATGAATATATGACATCAGTTATTCTGTATTCAGTGTAAGGGTTAAATATTCAAATAAAATTTAAATCTATTTAAGTTTTAGGACCTTAACGAAGGTACAGAAAAGTATACTGTAGTGGAAAACATAGGTACTGGCTTATTAAAATTCCAAAACTTAATAACCTATCAAGTCCAATTTGTGCTGTCCATCTTCATCTTGGTGAGCCACCCACTGGATCATGGTCAACCCATCAGGAACTACATCCTTAAAGAAAGCTGATTTCCTCCCCCGTAAGCCATCAGTAGTCAACCTAACTGTTCCTTGGGGGTGGGGCCCATTCTGGGTTGGAATACTGCTGGTTTGATCTTGCCTAGGTCTTGGGCAGTCTGTCCCCACTGCTGTGAGTTCATGAACACAGTGGCCCTCTCCAGAGATACTGCTCCACCCCGGTCTCCCCACATCTGGCACTTAGAGTCTTTTCCTGCTTTCCTGTGATAGTCCTTGACCTAGGGGGTACCAGTGAGCTAGATGTCCCACTTGGGGGAGGGTATGAAGATGAGAGGGATGCTGGAAAGACTTGGAGGGAGGAGCAGAGTGCGTGTGGAGATGACCAAATGCATTGTATGCAATTCTCAAAGATGCCTAATTCTGCCCTTTTGTGCAAAGAGCTTGGCAGTCACTATTTCCATCCAGACAAATAAGGAGCTGAGGACCAGTGACTTTTCTTACACCTCTCACTGCACTGTCGTCACTGGGAGAACAGCATAGCACATGATACTATAGTACGCATGTGTAAGTCTGAAAAGGACAACCTTGGGTTTCATAGCCTTTTCCTTCTACCTCAGTGGAGACAGGGTCTTTCTTGTATTTATTGTTGCCTCTGCCAAGCTAGCTGGCCTAGCAACTGCTGGGGATTGTCTTATCTCTGTCCCCAAGCCCTGTAGGAGCTCTGTAATTATAGATGTGTACTGCCTTGCCAGGCTGAACATGGATCTGAGGATTTGAATTCAAGTCCTCAGGCCTACATGGCAAATATTTCACCCACTGAACCAACTCTCACTCCCTAGAATTAAAAACTTTTAGCTGTGAAAGATTCTGCTGAGAGAATGAAACAGCCAACCACACAGTAGGACACATTTTGCCTCACAATTTCTTCTCTCAGTTTTTTTCCTCTTTGACCACGAAGATGGCGACGAATCCTCTTTTAATGGATTGCTGTACAAAGGTCCATTTTCGTAAATGAATGCACACTTCCCAACTTCCAAGACGTCACCAGTGTACTGGGTCCCCCCATGTGTAGTCTACGTTTAAAAGGGTGCCTCCTCTTTAAACACAAGGGGCAAGATAGAGGGAGCCACAATGTCACCTCACAAATAAATGGTGAGTTCCAATTAATAGGCATTCTTTCTAACTCAGAAGTCCCATTGAGTCTGTTCACTCCCTCTGGTGCTGAAGATGGGTCAGGAAGTCACGAATAAATGATCTTTTGTGGAAATTAAGGGGGCATCCTGAGGAGCATTGCCTCCTAGTGCTGATATATGCAAGCCTTTGAGAGCCGTGAGTGCTCTCCTCTTCCCTGGAGGCTGTCCTCCCTGTGTGGCCAGTGTGCCCGTCCATCCACACATTCCCCAGATGCTCTCTCAGACAGATTCTACTCTCATTGCCTGCATATAACCACAGGAAAAGTGCTTCTGGCTCCGTCCGCTGGGTCAAGT